CCTTGCCAGCTTCCTCCATTGTGTGGCTGAGTCCGGCCACTGACCAGGCGGCGTCTCGTTATCCTGTGGTGCATGGTGAAATGATGGGGGATGGATGTGAATGGACTGAAGATGGGGTTCCTCCCTTTGGAGTGCGTCGCAGCAGGGTGAACGCGCCCTTGTTACATAGTGTGGGCTTACCCCTGGGTTGCGGGCTGGGCTCTCTGTGTGGTGCAAATTGCCCCCCTTTGGTGACGTAGGATGGGCCCCCCTTGTGGTGTGGGGGGCCCCCCCCATTGTAGGGGGCAGTGGGGACTGGGGGGTGGGCCTTCCCGTGAGCCCCTCCCTTCTCCCCTCCCTTCCCTTTGTCACGGGGGCGTGGTCCCCCTGGTTCCGTCTCAATCTGCCGCAAAGCGGTGGTGAGGCGGCCCGTGGAACTGCTTCAGGGCGCACTGTCAATCTTGTGGGCTGCCTCCGCCCCCGGGCCGTTGCCCCTGGCAACTCGCCGGCGTCGCAGGCAATTGGTGACGTCACGCCCGCCGGCGACGTCACGCTCGCCCGCGACGTCACGCCCGCCCGCGACGTCACGCCCGCCCGCGACGTCACGCCCGCCCGCGACGTCACGCCCGCCCGCGACGTCACGCCCGCCCGGGACGTCACGCCCGCCCGCGACGTCACGCCCGCCGGTGAAACCACGCCCGCCCGCGACGTCACCTCCGCCCGCGACGTCACCTCCGCCCGCGACGTCACGTCCGCCCGCGACGTCCCTTCCGGCCCCGGCGCGACTCCCGACGCGGTCTCCGGCCCCGGCGCGACTCCCGACGCGGTCTCCGGCCCCGGCGCGATCCCCGACGTGGTCCACGGCCCCGGCGCAATTCCCGGCGCGATCCGCGACACCACTCCTGGCCGCGACGTCACTCCCGGATGCAACGTCACGTCCGTTCGCGACGCCACTCCGGGTCGCGACGCCACCCCTGGTCGCGACGCAATCCCAGGCCCCGGCGCTATCCCCGGCGCGATTCCCTTCCCCCGACCCGGACAATGGGGACCGGGGAACGACACCGACGGCGCCCACCCCGAGGAGACTCCCGGTAAGTTCGCGGCGTCGGAATTATAATTGCTCGGCCCGACCGAGAGGCCGGGCGGGAAGGCGTCACTCGCCTGGATCCTGTCGGCGTTCGGCCCCGGCGGGTTCCAGGTAACGTTGGCGGCCTCCGGCTCTGTGCGGCACCCCCTCGCCACATGCCCCTCTCGACCACAACGGTGGCAGACCCACGGGGCGTTCCGTCGGGGGGGCTCGGCGCGATGTTGTAGAGGCGGCTGCCAGCGACGCGGCGGTTGGTCGCGCCCCTGGTCCCTCTGCTCCGCCAGTCCCCGGATCGCCGCGTACACCTCCCGTAGCGATGGCTCCGTCTCAGACGTCGGGGGTCCGTCCCCAGCTGCTCCACAGGCAGCCTGTGGCGACGGTGCAGGTTCGGCGGTTGGTGTCGCTGGACCCAGTAGTGCCGCGGCAACGGCTCGGCTGTTCCCCCCCGCCGCGCCAGCTACCGAGCCCACGGGTGGCGCCCGGCCCATGACCTGCTCGTGGGCTTGGATGGTCCGGGCAGCCCACAGCGAGGTGCGTTCCCCCGGCGTCACCACGGGCATTACAACGCCGGCGCGGCAAGCGTAGGCGATGAGGTGCTCGACCACGAGATCCTCGAGCGCTTCTTCAGCCAGGCGAGGGAAAGCTCTCCTCGCCAACACGAGCAGTGCACCCCTGTAGGATAAAGGGGATTCTTTAGCCCCTCGCTGGCGATCCTGGAACCGTTTAAAGGCCCCTTCCGCCGGGCAATAGATCTCCCCCAAAGCCTCGTAGGCCGCCTGTAGCGTGGTCTTGCTGTGCGAGGGAAGGGAGGTGTAAGAGGCGAGTGCTTCCTTGCCCAGAACGGATGGCAGCGCTCGTAGTGCCTCTTCGTCTGTCCACTCGAGAGCGTGGAAGGCAGCCTCGAATCGGCGGACAAACTCCTCCCAGTCTTCTTCCTCAGCCACGAACTTGTCGACGGGCCCCAGCCGACGCGGCCGTCCGGCCACCTGCTCTCCCTGTTGGGTGGTTAGCCCTGGGGGTTTTGGCGGGACCGGCGGCGGCTGGCGTGACGAGGTTGGTTGCCCGGCCGGCTGGTCGGCCTCCGGGTCCCGTGGCCTCTCCTCCCGTAGTACGCGTGGGGGTGGGGGTCCCGGTGCTGGCGGGTCCCCCATAGGGAGCCTCTGTAGGAGCTCCTGGAGTGCCCTCTCCACGCGGGCCATGCGGTCCTCCATGGTGTCCTCCAGGCGATCCGGGCCCCCTGCTGCTGCTTCTGATAGCAGGCCCCCTTGTTGCCCGGGATGGGAAGGATCCCCGGCCCCTGCTTCCTCCTCCCTTGGCTCTTTCCCGCGGGGATTTTTCTTTGTAGCCATGAGATCCCACCGCTGCCACCAGATGTAAAGTAGGAGCCGACACCAGATTGCAGGGGTCTCGTCCTTTATTCTTTTCCTTCCATCCACACCTGTCCCCCAGCCGTCCCAATCTCGTTCCCGCCAAAGGCCCCCTCTTCCCGCCCGTTCTCTCCTTATATCTCTTCGATCACCCCTCCCACTAACCCATCTATTGGTGGGAATCCTTCCCCTGACACCCCTACAATTGTTTCATCAACGGGACACTTTAGTACTGATTGGGCCGTGTGGGGTGGTGGAGTGTTACAACACATTAGTAAATAAGGTGATCTAAAGGCAATAACGGTGTTTATTAATAATGTTTGCGAAAGCCTACGTGTTACAAAATGACTAACTTAACTTAAGAAGCAGGCTACAGTCAACATTATAGACTGGCAGTACACCCACTCATCTTCATAAGTAGGCAAGAGTGTACATTATAGACTGTCAGTACACTGAGGCAGCGTAATGAGCAGGCTGCAGTCTACATTATAGACTGGCAGTTTAGTCACCCAATTGAATGAGAATGGCACAGTGTACATTATATACTGGCAGTTCGCTCACCCAGGTGAATGACTATTTGTACAGTGAACATTTAAAGAATAGATTGTTGGTACATGGGGTTAAAAAGTAATGACACAGTTGTTTTGTCATTGCTCTGTAATGTTTTAAAGTTTTCATACGATATAAAATGTATTTTGGCCCCGGGCAAGGCTGGGTACATGGAGTTAATAGCACAAAGTCGTCGCTTGACACGGGTGGGGTGTGGAGGCGTAGTACTGCGCAGAGGCTCCGGCGTCGCCTAAATTGCCTAGCAGGCATGCGGCTGGCTACGGGTGTCGTCCCCTACCCCCCCCCCCCCCCGTGCAACAATAATGCAGTGTAATGGGTATAATGTAATTATGTAGGGACCGTATAATATAAATTTCACACATTGTGTTGGGGGGGGAGTGAAGAGGAGGTGAAAGTTAGATGCATGTACCTGATGTGAAGGACTATTTGTAGACGGAGCATTGAAAGAATCGATGATTGGTGCGTGTGTTTAAAACAGAATAATACAGTTTTTTGTGCATGACACATGGTAATTGTTGTGTTTTAACGCTTGAACACACCGGTGGCCTAAAGCAGTGAACTATTATATTTAAATCAACGGGACACTTTTTTACTGATTGGCCGTGTCGGGTGGTTGGAGTGTTACAGCACGTGAATAAAGAAGGCGATCTAAACAGAATTACGGTGTTTATGAATAATGTTAGCGAAAGCCTAAGTGTTAGCAATCTACTAACTTAATAAAAGAACCAGGCTACAGGCAAACATTATAGACTGGCAGTACACCCACTGTGCTTCATACGCAGGTTACAGTCCGCATTATAGACTGTTAGTACACTGAGGCAGCTTAATAAGCAGGCTACAGTCTACATTATATACTCGCAGTGCACTGACGCAATGTAATAATGAGGCAACAGTGCACGTTATATACTGGCAGTCCGCTCATCAACTGCCAACATGGACTGGTCTGTCCACGTGGAAGTCCCTCGCCCCCCTGTCAGACACCAACATGGACTCGTCCATCGCTGGTCCCACCTCCCCCACGGAAAATCATCGAAGTCAACGTACAGTAGGACAGTCCACACAAGCGGCATCAGCAACAACAGCAGCAGCAGCAGACGTCTCCGCGGCGTTGGTGCCAGGCTAGGTGCACTCTTAGGCCACGCGAAGTGTCGAAGGCTCGCTGACAGGAGGTCACGGGGCAGAACCCTGCAGGTGCCATGGGGTTGACCGACTCGAGATGGCTGCAGACGCCACCAGCTGTGCCAACTCGCCGCGTTTTAGCCGCCCGCCTCTCCGCTCGTTGTTGTGAGCGTCCCTCACGAGCCTCCTCCTCCACAGAGGCCGATCTTGACACCGCCGGTAGCGCTCATCGGCAAGTCCACTCAGCTCCACATCCTCCAACCAGGTACCTTTGTAGACCCGCAGTGATGCCCCATGCCGTGTTGGCAGTCCACTGCTGGATGAAGGCTTCGGGTCGCCACGGTGGCTAGGAGATGTTAACTACCTCGCCCGGTGTGCAGGAGGTCGTGGGTTCGACCCCGACGCCTGCTGCTGCTGCTGCTGCTCTAGATGTGGAGTCTGCGGTGTCTCTCTCCACGTGGTCGCGTGGATTTCTCTCCCGGTGCTGCGGTGTTCCCATCCACATTTAGAGTCGACGTGTTGAGAATATTTGGTGCTCTAAATGTCCACGCGAGAAGCCACTTTGTTGAGCTATCATCTGTGGCCAGGTCGCTTCTTATAAAAGCGCTATGAAGCTCAGTGGAGCTTACGTGGTTGAAATAAAATAACTCCACGTACACAGAACATCTGCCGTGATCCTGACTGCAGTGCTCATCTCGATATGGTCGATGAAAGTGAACTACGTGACGGCCGCTACGTTAAAAGGTTTCGTCACCTTTGGGTGGCATCAGTTGCTGCTCTGGCCCATCGGGGAATGCAACAATGTCTTGATGGAGGCTCCATTGAAGATGCGTGCGACCCTCTCAAGTGGCCGTCTGACCCGAATGTTCGGTCCAACCCTAGCTGAATATCGAGTGGAACTGTGTGACCCCGGGGCTGTTTGCTACAACGTAACACTTTGTTTTTACATCCCACGGTCAATCCACTGCTGGATGAAGGCCTCCCCACCATTGTGGTTCTTTGACCATATCCCACCACGGGTGGTCGATGCTGGTCGGTGAAGGTCGCAGGGCAACCAGCCCTGTACATCGCTCCCCAGTGGATGTCGGTGTTAGCCCTGGACAGGAATTGAACTCGGGTGGAGCCGGTTCGTAGCGTGGCGCGCTACCCACCTGGGCCACTTCTCGTCACCCTCTTTGGCTGTTTACTCAACGACCTCAACATTCGTCAGTGGTGACCGATTCCATTCATAAAGTGCGCTCTTGCCGCCGTGTGCGCTGAGTAGTGCTCAGTATTAAACACGCGTTGACTGCTCTATACAGGGTGGGATAGAGATCTCTACTCAACCCTGCAGGGTGACCCCTCTCATAGTGAAGGCGTTCACACTTGAGCTGCGGTTGTCCTGTGCCAGTAGTTGTATCATTAACTGTGCGGAATCCTTTTCAAACCATTACTATAAAAATGCTGAATTTGCCTTTAAGTTACTTTTCTTGGATTTAGCAGAATTCCACAGTAGCTCTCTCAATAGCTGTAGCGATTGAGTAACGATCTTTTAAATGTTTGCGTTGTTAAATCGTATGAGTCGTAAGACGATAATTGAATGACCACTTAGTGTAGGACAATCATTGAATGTTTTGAACTATAAAACTCTGCAATGTTAATTTAATGCTGAGGGTGTTGACAAGCAAAGTAGCGGGTGTGTGGGGTTTAAATTGTCAACTCGTGCCCGCACTGCATCGTGTGGCGGGTTTCTGACAGCAACAGCATCGCCACGAAGCTCTCATTGGCGCTTGGTGAATATCCGTGGCGGGTTCCTTTTCGTTTTTTATTCATTTAATGAACGGGCTGATTAGATGAGACGATGGCGTTGCGTTTCGTATTAGTGGCTACTCCTCCACGTGGCTGGGCGATTGAGAAACCACACCCACAGCAGTGCCCCAGTGTACCGGCACCCCCCCAGTGCTGGAGTCAACATTCTCTGGACCCCGTTTTTCTTCACACGCCACCCTGGATTTGGGCCTGGCAAGAAGCGCGTCGCCACCAAACGCGTTACGGTCAAATGTTGTAAGCGGCAGGTATATCTAACTTCATATTTTTCCTCTTCCAAGACCTCCTGGCCAGTGTGGAGGAGTAGGCCAATTACCCTCACAGGGGCTCTCTGCAGCTCCCTCTCGTGGAGGCCCCATTTGCCGGCAGTGGCGTGAACAACCGCAGGGGCTGTACCTTTACCTTCTATCCACTTTTTATATTCAACATTTAATTAGGTCAGCAAGGCGGTGTTGACCTCTTACCCACACACGTTTCTGACAAGTACAGCAAGTGCACGTGTACACAAGTGTACTCCTGTGCTAGTTGCACGCCACTTCTGCTGTTTGTGTTTAGTTTGTTGTCGTTCCCCCACACCTCAGATTAGCACGGTTGGCTGTGTGTGGTGCTAAAGAAGTTAAACATACACACACGCGCATCCACGCACACAAACACATACACACAGACATACAAAGACAAAGAACCCCCGTATAGACAATCAGGCTGTTGGGGCAAGTACTGTTAGCGAGCACATGCACATACACACATACATACACACATAAACACATAAACACACACATAAACAAACACATACACACACATCCACACCCATACACACACATACACCCACACACAGACATATACATACACACACACTGCGATGGCAAAGTAAGAAATGGAAGCGAGACCAGTTTTGTCACGACAAGTATATATTCATTTCAAGTGCAAATACAAAACGAGGTAGACAAAATCTCTGGAAAACATTAATCTCGCTTTCCCTTCCCACACTTTGAGCTGCTTTTGTACAAACGATAAAAACCCCGAGGAGACCGTATTGTCACCGATCTACATTCACGAGTTCAGAAACCGCTGTTTCTGGAGGTATCATGGACGATGGAAATAAAGTGCTTGGCGAAGTTCATCATTTATCCGTACATTTCACGTGGTAACGGCTTGGCGCTACGGTTAGCGTGTCCATTGAAATGTGCACGCCCCGTACGTAAAAAAAAGTAACAGATATGTAGTTAAAAAAATGCCGACGTATTCACAGTTCAATAAATAAATACTTTGCAACAGCGGTGACTTTTTAAATCCCCGAGACAACGCAAAATAAAAGCCCCGCATTTTAAATGAACAGAGACAAGAACCGTACGGGAATACCTTGCACGACCTCACTGAGACCGCACTCCGGCCTCGCGTTGCGGAGGATGCAATCTCTGTCTTCATTTGTAATGGGACAGTTCATTTTGCGGTCACCATCACAATGACGTTCCTGGTGCCAACTCTCTTGACGATTGGCCAGGGAATAAACATCAACCCCAAGACATAATGGGTTGGTGCCGCCTGCATGGATCTTGGCTCCTGTTTCCCAGAATGGCTGGCGTGATTTTAAGCACTTTCGTGCTGGGTGTTTCAAGTCTTCGTGGATTAAAACTTGATTTGAAGCTTTCGTGATTGCATGAATTACTCTTTGGTTATAGTAGGTTTTTACCCTTTAAACTGGTACAAAACTGACACCTTTATACAAGGCATCATGTTTGCAATAACCACAACACAAGCAGTCAAAATGCAAATAAAAATAAACAACTTTGATAATGATATGCACTGTCCTTGAAGTTGATTGGTCCACACCCGAGACAGCTTTTCTTAGAGCCTAGTCTCCATTGGTGTTGGACCAGAAGACGCCAAAAGGCGTACAACTCAAAAACAGCACACTATCAGAGTATTGAGAGCTCGGGGTAAGCATTTACACTATGAGACCTCCTTTGCCACTGGTAAAGGAGGTCTCATAGTGTAAATACTCTTTGGTTCTTTCGGTAAAGTCACGTAGAAAATAAATAAATTAAATAATAGAATACGACGTTTCGATTGCAACACAAGCAATCGTCATCAGGTAGAAAGCAAACCTAGTGAACTTAAAAATATTTTCTTTCTTCGTGGATTGTGAGGTCAGAGTTGCTTTAAATGTTTTCTATCTCGTCGGACGGCTGTCAGCATTGGACGGGCGTGCATGAGGCCCTGACCTAGTCATTGCAGCTCTTTATTGTGTTGAGAATGTGGTCGTCGAGTGAGAATGTCGAGTCTAAGGTGATTCCAATGATGTTCAAGTGATTTCAGAGGCTGGTGGTGGAGCCGGCGATGAATACATTTTGGGGGGCGGGCGACGCCATGGTGAGCCTCTGCCTGGTGCCTTCGTAAAATGTCTCTCAAAATTAGTTTGATCTTGAGGGGAAGCAAGAGGTTAGACACGTGATCATGGATTTTAACCAGCGACTTCTCTTGGTGGGGCGAGTGCCAGTTGTTACACCGGTGGTGGCTGCTGTGCGACCAGAGTGGCGGTGGCTGTGGTGGGACTGGTGGCGGTGGCTGCTGTTGGACTGGCTGCTGTTGGACTGGCTGCTGTGGGACACGCGGTGGCAGCAGCTGCTGTGGTGCTGACGGCGGCTTCTATGAGACCGGCGGTGGTGGTGGCTCCTGCAGGACTGGTGGTGGTTGCAGGTGGAATGGCAGCGGCTGCTGTGAGATCGGGGTGGTGGTGGTGGTGGTGGCTGCTCTGGGACTAGCGGCAACGGCTGTTGCGTGTCTGGCGTTGCCGGTAGCTGCTGCTGCTGCTGTTCCTGCCGTCGCTCTTGCAGTGGCTCCGGCAGTTGATCCCATTGGGATGGTTCGACATCTTGGGTTTCTGGAGATAAAGAAGATGATGGCGCTAAAGTCCAAACCGCTCGACATTGGGAGAATGAAACAAAACCGGTCTAAAGTATAAACAAGAAGATCGCTGTACTTCACCATTCCCTTAATATAAAATGATGCGCTGTCAGGGTGTACATTCTCCCTGGGCATTTCCACGCACACAGGACGGCGTTTCCAATCCATCCTTTACCTTGCGCGCCGGTGAGGAGAGCTGCTGTCCGGTAACTGGGTCCGGGGTCTTCCTTCGCCGAGTGGCGCCGTTTGAGGCACGACCAGGACGTCGCCTTGACGTGCTCCAGCGGGCAGTAGCTCTCCGCTGGCGGCGCGTTCAATTCTGGGGACCTGCATGCACGCACCAACGCGTCGCAAACCGTTAACACCTGCCTTTAAAGGAGACACTGCTGCTCGCACAAGACAATATCTTTCCAGTGAGCTGGTCTGGGGGACGGTTGTAAGTGCAGGTTAAAGTGGAGGGGAGAGAATGTGACTTACCGAATATAGAAGAGCACGTAGGCCTGCTTATTCATCACAGCCTTGGTGTCGACGTGCCGCACGATGGAGTCGTTCATGCAGCACCATTGTCCATCGCTGATCTGCGCACAGTCAAAGCACAGCTACACTTGGTTACAATGTTTACACAACTGCACCCAACTTCCTCCATTGATGTAATAACAACACGCAATACACACTCTAGACAACAAGTTCGTAAAGAGCATCACCCCATCGTCAGAGCTGCAGAGCGTGCTACGGTTGCTGTGATGGTGCTGAAGTTACGAAACGATCTGCCTGAATATATCACTGCATGGATGACCTTGGACCAATTTCATCAGAATCAGAATCTTTATTTGTACTGAAAGAATTCGATGATCTACGAAGCTCTTAAACAAATGTCCAGTAGGGGCGGGTCAGAAAGTTACAACAACAACAAACAATACAACACCGATTGGAGTGCAAAGTGTAGAAATGCTATGGAAGTCACTAAATACAAATAAAGTATACACTATAAGTAGAAATTGTATGAGTGCATCAAGACGCAAGAACATACACAAGACTTTTAATTATTCTTCCCTATCGGACATTGGTAACATTATGGGCGAATTGCAGATGTGCGTTGTTTTTGTTTGATGGTAACAATTGGAATTACCTTATTGTAGCAATAATAATGACCCCTGTTGGAGTCGGCTCCCTTGTGCACCAGCACCGAGTACAGGGAGTAGATCGCGGGCTCGCCCTGAGAGGTTGAGGTGAAACGTTGCATGTCCAGGTGCTCCGGGTAGGTGATGTTCTACAGGCAGCGCACAGGAGGGGGAGGCAGTGCACAGAGACAAATGTTAGGAGAGGAAACGGCAGGGGTGGTGGGGTGGGCAGCAGAGATAGGCACCATCTCAGTTACGCGTCAAAGTGATGTCGTGATGTCTCGCTAATTTGAGCGTTGAAGACGGTGCTCATCTCCTGTTCATAGCCCTGAGCAAGTGGTGGACATTCTACAGTCACATGACGGGGGGCGAGTCTATCTGTCGGACCTATTCCAACATGGAGAGGCATTTTCTCCAGCGTTGAACTGACAAAGGGCTAAATTTCGATTTAAAGCTTTCGTGACTGCAGGGATTCATCTTCTTGGTTCTTTCGGTAAAGTCACGTAGAAGGGAAGTAACACGGTGTAGACTCGTGTGATGTAAGAGAATAAAGTTTAGATGGAAGCATATTATATAATTTTTACGACGTAGAATTGTAATGTATTACTTACTGTTAGTAACTCAGCTTATTGTAGAGTATAGTAAGTATACTGATGATGCTATGTAGTTTATACTTGAGTTGTTTATAGTTTAGCTTTTTTACGTGGTTGGTTAGTAACTGCAGCTACATACTATTAACATTCCTTTCCTTTGTTAATGCTACCCCCCTTCCCCCTCCCTTTGATGCTGCTAATCCTGCATAATGCACGGGCATAATATTAATTTGAAACCCCCCCGCCCACCTCCTACGCATTTTCCATATGCTAAATTCCTCTTGATATCCAAATTATTTTGTCAAGGCGCTCTTCTTCCCATCTCCCCCCCTCCAACCCAGCTTAAATATACGCTCCAAGCTTGGTGGTGTTTCATTCTTCACCTGAGGACGGCTGCTTGCGTTGTGGCCGAAACGTCGTGAGAATTATTTTATTATGTTTTATTTTTATTATTTTATTACTTCCCTTCTACGTGACTTTAACGAAAGAACCAAGAAGATGACAAAGGGCTGTCACTAAATAATTTAATGAGAACGATGTGGAGGGGCAGAATCGTTACCCGGTTGATCTTGACGCCGTAGAGGTTGTACCGCTTGATGGAGACGGTGAGGACGTTGGGCAGGCGGTGGAGAGCCATCGTCTTCGTCGCTTCCCCCTTGCAGCAGCACCTGCACGACAACAACAACGCCAGAGATCGCACGCGTTCCCCAACTTTTAAACAATAAGTCTACTCTCTTTTTGTTGTTCGTTAATTTTTCTTAATTTCTTAAAATAAAAAATTGTTACTTATATATTGTAAGTTATTTTCAATGTGTTTATATAATATTTTTATGAATATATTTTATTATAATTAGATTTAATCTGCAGACTTTTGAAGCTACAAATGATTCCAGGGTGTCAACACACGATGCCCACTCACATTCCGCAGGTGTATTCGTCCAGCGTCTCCTTATTGAAAAACTCCTCAAACGCCTCCACAAGATCTGATGAGTTCTGTTGGCCAACAGAGTGAAACGCAAATGAGGACTCTAAGAAGCATTCCATGAACGTCTGCAAGATTATATTGTGACGGCAACTCCCGAAAACCCGCATCTTGTATGAAATCGTACGACCGTAAAAAAAGAGCTCACGTACGCTACCGGCAGTGTGTTTGGATGTTAAGTGGCTGATTCAGGTAGGCGTGTGTGTGGTGGATGTTGGCACAGCAGGGGGCACAGGTGGTGCATCGGCCAGTCATCTCAGTCAACCCATGGCACATGGGTCTGTCCCGTGACCTGCCAGCGGGCGTTCGACACTTCATGTGGTCTTCAAGTGCACTCAGCAGACTGGCACAAGCACCGTGGTGACATCACCGCCACGTATGTGATGTATGTACGTTTAACTTATTTCGCACCGTACATAGATCTTTAACTGTTAAGCGATGGCTTTGTCATTGCTTACATTAATATGGAGTGCAATGTCCAGGCACGTGTCAAAGGTGTCGGAGTGGTTGCAGCACTGCATGCACTCCACTGCAATACACAAGCACACACACATTAGGAAGGGACGTCACATGTTACTTAGTAAAACTAAATGCACACTCCCCACTGACATTGGTAATTGGTAGTTTTCACCAACTGGTTATTCTGTGTTGCACGTGCGTGAGAGTGTGCAAACGCTGCGACGCGAGCACGTCTACACTGTGATGGTGCACTTGCTGCTCACGGTTAACAAGTTTCTAGAGGAGTGCGCACAACTCACCACGTGATCGAAGGTAACCCCCGAAGATCTGGTAAATGAGGGTGGTAGCCTCCGTGTATCTGTCCAGCCTGCCAGTCACAGAGAACGACACCACACGGTGGTTACAGCAGCAGCAGTAGTAACACCTTTACCGGATGCACACACGTGTGTGAGAGTTACACCATTGCCCGAGCTGTCGATTCACTCTTTCCCTTCAGCACTGCAACGCGTGCTCTGTGGCAACCAAACGTGGTAGTGTCTGCACAGGGCAGCCACCTTCACGGCACAGCCACAGAGCTGGGGGCACGCTGGCAGCCATCACGCGGTGCTGTTGCCCGGCAGTTTTGTTGTGCTCGGCGTGCCACGTGCCGCTCGTCAACACGAGGAATGTCGTCACGGGGCCACCGCACATCGAGACATCGATTTTCCGATATTTATCGGCAACGTGAAATGCGCAAACAAAAGGTGGGCCACGTCAGGGCCAAGGTGAAAGAACCGTGGTGCCAGCAGGGTCGGACCTCTGCATCTCCCAGGTTTTCACACAAAAGTGTGAGTAGCTTTTCACAGACGTTGAAGTACAATCGTGCAGAAAACCAAGAGGAAGCCGTGAGGTACCAAACTGCAGAACGACTGCCGCATGTTGACTGGCGCGCAGTACTCACTCGCTGTGGCCATAGAGGCATGAGGCTTGCATGGCATCGACCACGTATCGCAGAAACTCGTGGGCATCTTCCTGTCTCCCAATGCGCAGGTGTTTGGCGATGCCTGCAGAGAAATGGACATGGGGACAAAGTGACAGGTACAGGATCTGATGACATCCTTCAAGAGCTCCCCAACATATATGGCAAAAGGAGTGGTGCAAAGGACTTGGAACACAGATGGAGAAAGATCGCGGGGGATAACTTCTCCTGCGAGTGCAAGTGTGAACGTAGTATTGGGACTCACGCGTGATGTTCTTAGTTATGACCTTGGGTGTCAGCACTCTCTGCGAGTTGTTGAACGTGCTGACAATGTGATGCTCCATGACACACATCAGGCAAAAGTCGCTCTGTTGGCCTGCGAACGAGAGCACAGGTGGCACAATCCGTCAGCGCACGCCACTTGCACTCAGCCCAGCTGGGGAGTAACAAGAAAGGCTAGAATCCTGGCACCAGCAACAATCGCAATGAATGTTGCGTCTAAGTACCAATTGCATCACATCTGTCCGACCTATTAAAAATTATCGCCACATGTGCTCGTGTTTATCAAAATCATAATATTTATACTGGTGGAATCCGATAAGCTAAGAGGTTTTGTTTAAAAAATGTCGAGTAGGGGCACTGGGTCAGAACATTACAACACCAAACAATACAAAAAACGATCAGAGTACAAGGTATTGGAAAGGTAAACAAATCACCTTTTAAAAATCTACAAATAAAACTAAACTTTTTTTTCATCTTCCCAGATAAAGCCCACTGAGCTATTAGCTTCTTCAGAAGCGACCTGGACCACAAATGATGGCTCAACGAAGTGGCTTATCACGTGGGAAATGTATCGCAGCAAAATAACTGACATAATAACCTAACCCATGGGTAAACGAGAGTGCCAGGGGGGAGGGTACTTACAGGTGCTGCAGTGCTCTTGCAGCAGCAGGTAGTTGGCGAGCGGCGGCGTGTAGGCGAGGCACTGCAGCGTGGCGTTGAGGAAGCAGGTGTTCCCCAGGTTGCGCAGGCCGGCACCCTTGCAGACGTCGCTCTCCCACCGGAGGTTCAGCCGGTCCGGTGCAAACAGCGAGAGCCGTGCCGCCGGAATGCCGTCGTCGTCGTCTGCACAAAGGGCACGGTGGTGGCGGAAGCCGGTGTCATCGCAGAGCGCTGCACTGCTGATGGGGCTGGCGTGGATATCCAGTGGCCCCAGCCATCACCCGTACTGCTACTCTTAACCACGAAGATTTTACTCCACATTTAAGTGTAAGGCTCAAGATCGCGAAAAATATTATTTGCCTGTCGCGTTGGCTGCTGGGTGTTTTGAGCTCCCCGTGTTACTCGTGAACGGCAACAGCAGTGGCTCCAAAGCGGCCCTTGAGTTGGTGGCTGCCACCCTAATGAGATGCCACGACGTCGCGTGATTGCACACTCACCTTGGGGTGCAGGCACAGACACGCTGATGTTCTCTGTGGCTGGTACAGGGGAGGGTTCCGGCCGGCCATGGGGAAGGCAGCTGGGTTGCGTGCAGAGCCACTCGTCGGCCGCCACCAGCACCTCGTTGGACGAGGTGGGGGCCAAGACCGTGAGGTCGTTGCCGGACGAGGTGCCCTCTGCTCCGCACGCCACAGTCGTGGTTGGGTCCTGCCACAGCAACGCAGTCAAAACATCCACAATTACTCCTCCCATCTGGACTGGGATCCCAACACACGTGGGACTGTTTTATCACCAAAAGAAATACAATTTTAGTCCATGAACCTATGGGCGATCTGCATAAAATGTCTCAGAAGCAAATATATATTTACAGTATATTTTTAAAGTAACCCCAAACTCACTTTAACTCGTAAAATATTATATGAAGAACGGCCATTGACTAAAGATGAACTAATTCAATTTGTTGTTATGCATGCGAGAGAGAAGGCAGCTGTAGTTTAAAAGAGATCATACATGCATTTCAGAAGATAAATCGAGCATTAATGTTAATCAAATTAATTTTTAACATTTGTTAAAATTAAACTAAATAATCCTCCGTGATTTGTTCAAATAAATACACTAATCCTGATTTTTCGGCCACCCTCTTACAAACAACGTCATGACGGGCCAACTGTGATGTGCTCTGAAAACGGGGCATTAACTGAAACGTCGCTTTTTTCTATTTAAGAATACTTTATATATGTAAAACACGTTTTTATCAAAGTCAGAATATTTATACGGGAGGAATCCGATGAGCTATAAAGCTCTTTTTCACAGATGTCCAGTCGGGGCGGGTAAGAACGTTACAACAACGAACAACACAAACATCATAGGAGTGCAAAATACAAGTTGGCCCAAAAGTTAAGACACAGGGTTACTTAATTTATCTTAACACTGACATTACATAGTTCTCGTTATTTATTCTTAAAGTTAACAATTTAACTATCATTAATTTTGATAACATCCTTTGTGACTAGTTCAAATAAATACGGTAACTCTGTGTCTTGACTTTTGGGGCAATTTTATATAGGCGACGTTATGTAATTGATGTGATGTGCTCTGCAGAAGGGCCATTATCTGAAACGTCGCCTATCATTTTCCTGTAACAATTCCCCCACCCCCGTGCACTCTCAGCGTTGTGATTGGCTGAGTGGCACCAGCGGGCCCCGCCCCGCCCGCCACCCGGGGCCCCGCCCCCTCACCTGAGGCTCCGCCCCCAGACGCGGCCCCGCCGCCGCCTGCGCGACTCCCGTCAGCTCCGGCACGGCGACCCGCGCCGCGCCTCGGGCTTCATCCGGGGAGGGGGTCCCGGGCACAGCCCCGCGGGATCCCTCGCGGGGGTCATCATCTGCAAGAAGGAGAAGCACAGCGATCACATTTCGTACTTCGGACAAACACACGGCTCTACATTTCCCACGAAAGTTTAACATGGCACTGTGTTCAGTAACCCCAGCCAGCAGCACCCGTGCTGCTACTCTTAATCAGAAAGATGTTGCTCCACATTTAAGTTTAAATCTCAAGGTAGCGAAAAATGTGATGCGCCTGTCACGTTGACTGATAAGTGTTTAGAGCTCCTCGTGTTACTCGTGAACGGCAACAGCAGTGGCTCCAAAGCGGCCCATGCATTGGTGGCCGCCACCCTAATGAGAGGCCACGAGGTCGCGTGGTCGCACGCTCACCTTGGGGTGCAGGCAGCACAGACACGCTGATGTTTTCTCGTGCTGTGGCTGGCACCGGGGAGGGTTCCGGCAGGCCATGGGGAAGGCAGCTGGGTTGGGAGCAGAGCCTCTCGTCGGCCGCCACCAGCACCTCGTTGGACGAGGTGGGGGCCAAGACCGTGAGGTCGTTGCCGGACGAGGTGCCCTCTGCTCCACACGCCACAGTCGTGGTTGGGTCCTGCCACAGCAACGTAGTCAACACATCCACAATTAACATTCCCTCCCTTTGTTAATGCTACCCCCTACCCCCTCCCTTTGATGCTGCTAATCCTGCATAATGCATGGGCATAATATGATTTTGAAACCCCCCAGCCCACCTCCTACGCATTTCCCATAAATATGCTAAATTCCTCTTGATATGCTAATAATTTTGTCAAGGCGCTCTTCTTCCACCTCCAACCCAGCTTATATATATGCTAAATTCCTCTTCATAGGCTTAGATTAAAATTGTGACTAATTATTCGTTTGTTGTGAGACGAAAAATCAATGTTCTCCCTAAATATCCCCTGTGTTTGTATTTTATCTTTGCGTTTTGACACCCTCTATTATTGAATAATAAATAAACTATTCAGTTAATTTGTGCGAGATAATAGTTTTTTTTTTACTTCCAATAGAAATTGAAATAAAGGAGCAGAATCTGCTTTGAATTTGAACTCAGTGCAGTTTCACTTTGATGACTTTTGCTCGCACTTACGGTGAACATTTGTTAAAATGAGTGAACACTGACCTTTCCCCTTGCGATCAATAATCAATATTCACTTTTTTTAAATTCACATCAATTCAGAATCCAGTAAGTTATTGTAACTGAACAGGGGCGTCCACCCCTTCATGAAGTTGAACCAGGCGGCCGCCTGGGGCCCCAAGTTAAGTGGGGCGCCAAAAATTCGAGCAAAACACATTCCTGCGGAGAGAGCTGGTAGTAACGGTCAATGGCCAGGGTCAACGGCGGCGTGGTGTATTCCGCAAATATGCCCGACTGTGAGGGCAGGCACAAGCCGGTGTGAGTAGGTTAAACGTTGATACAGGTTGGAACAACAGGTTCCACACTGCCCACCAGGGATTATTTGTCTGTCGTGCATCAGAATGCAGCCCACCCATGCCCCCCCCCACCGACCGCCGAGCAAGGCCACGATTGGTTGAGGATATCGGGGAGGGTGGGGGGAAGGTAAACACGCCCACTCATCCAACTCCCCTCCCCCCCCAAAACGCCGAGCGGGGCGGCCACTAGTAGAGGTGGGGTGTAAACACGCCCACTCATGCAATCCCCTCCTTACAGAACACCGAGCAACGCCGCGATTGGTTGACGATGTCGGGGAGGGTGGGGGGGAAGGGTAAACATGCCCACTCATCCAACTGCCCCCCCCCCCCCGAACGCCACGCTGAGTGTGAGAGTGTGTGTGTGTGAGTCTGAGAGTGTGAAAGTAAGTGTTTGTTTGAGTCTGAGAGTGTGAGAGTGTGTGTGTGTTAGTCTAAGTGTGAGAGTGAGTGTATGTGTGTGTGAGTCTGAGAATGTGAGAGTGAGAGTGAGTCTGAGAGTGTAAGGGTGAGTGTGTGTGTGAGTCTGAGAGTGTGAGTGTGTGAGTCTGAGAGTGAGATGTCAGTGTCTGTGTGCGTTTGAGCGTGAGTGTATGTGTGTGTGAATTTGAGACTGTGAGAGTGAGTGTGTGTGAGTCTGAGAGTGTGAGAGTGTGTGTGTGTGTGAGTTTGAGAGTGTGAGAGTGAGTGTATGTGTGTGTGAGTCTTAGTTACCTAGAGTGTTATACAAGTAGGAACAACAGGTTCCACACTGCCCACCAGGGATTATTTGTCTGTCTGTCGTGCATATCCGGAATTCTGCCCACCCATGCATCTCCCCTAGGCCTCGGCAAGGTAAGGTAAAAGTTAAAAAGTAAAAACAACGAGCCTACCTTTACCCTACCTTTTACCTTACCACAATACAATTACTCTACCCTTACCTTTTACCCTTTAGCAGGTAAGGTAAAAAGCAAGAGCCTACCTTTTACCCTTACCCCATACAAATTACCCGATTACAGGGTAATTACTAGGGTACTACACATGAAAAAGGTTAATAACGGTAAATGCTAGATAGCGCGCTTTATTCATATAGAGTACTCTCGATGATTCCAATTTTACACGCTTGTTGTCATTGTTGTCGTTGTCGTCATTGTCATCGCTGTCATATCCTCAAATCTTGTAACTCAATTTTAACCCACTTCCTAATGTGGTATCGACTGCACACTTGGTATACTTATGGCATACTGATGACAATACTATATTCTATCATTAAAAAAAAAATGTACATGATTTTTTTTATGTTATGTTTCGGCTTGGGTCTATTTGTCCACGCTCAACTGACGTTGGCTGTAAATCACCACGGTCCCTTACGTTATGGCAAGCTTCGGGGCCACTTCCTGGAGTCGTGGAGTTCTGTTATTACTCGTACATTTAATGAAAGCGTGTTTTAAAAAAATATTTTTTAAAATTACATATTAAATGGAGGCCATGGACTGTGCCATGGAGCTTTTAGCGGTAAACAAGGTACCGTATTTACCGGGTAATACTTCGCGCTACCTTTACCCTACCGGGTAATTCTTCCAAGCTACCTTTACCCTACCCTTGACCTTACCCCTTGGCATGTTGACACCTTTACTCTTTTACCCGGTAAAAAGGGTAAATTACCTTACCTTGCTGAGGCCTACTCCCCACCGAACACCAAACTACGCCGCAATTGGTTGGCGATGTCGGGGAGGGTGGGGGGGAAGGGTAAACACGCCCACTCATCCAACTGCCCCCCCCCCCTGATCGGCGCGCTGTCCAACCAAGTTCCTACCTGCCCACTCCGAAGGAACGTGTTAGGGCACCACGGGGTGAGCAGCCCCTCCCCACCCAGCCCCACCCCTCCCACCCCCCACCCTCCCCACCCAGCCCCACCCTCCCCACCCAGCCCCACCCTCCCCACCCAGCTCCTCCCTGCACGACGGACGGACAAAATAATCCCCTGTGGGCTGGTGTAACCAGGAGGTTACTACCAGTAAAAATACAAATAAAATAACGACGATGTCATTATTTCAATTCATGTGCGCATACAGCGGGAATATGAATTATAATTCACTTCTCAACATTCCTAAGAATGTAAAACATTAAGTTATCATCATACCTAAAATCGGGGCAAAATGTTTCCCAGTTTACCAGAAACCTCAGCCTGGATCTGCCCTTGGGGTTTGGGGGTGGGGCCGCCCATTGGGTGGTTGGCCGAGGGCGTTGCCAGTTGCTGGCAGCAGCTGCTCTAGGGCCGCTCCTCTCACTGAGTGCAAATTCATTTTGGTAAAAGCGATTTTCTGCTCACGTTTTGAGCGAAAACTGGTGAACACAACGACGCGTCCTTCCGGGTTATAAACAGCTCATTTTTTAGTATTCACATAAATAGGGAATCCAGTAAGTCAATACATAAAATAATAATGTAATAATTACCACAACAATTGCGCATTTGCAACAAACATAAATCAAAAACCGCGTGTTTACATTGTTTCATTCACTCTCACAGGTGAGAAAAAAAATAAAAGTTTGCAAAACTAATTTTCGATTGAAACTTTTCGTTTACTTTCTTCCCGACAGAAAGGAAACTCCAACAGCTATTAGAATGATGAAGGTGATTTACAATTTTTCATTCTTTATTTGCAGGTTTGTTATACATTACTCTCGGAGAAGCGAAAATTACATTCGGTACGTCACATTCCGTAATTTTGAGTTCATTCAGATGAATCCAGAAGAGTCGCAGACGAAAGAAGACGTCGATTAAACGGAGGAAGACGGCAGAGGTGACGTCATCGACAAAGTCACAACACAGTAGATCGTTTACGACGTGAAAATACCCGTCACGTGATGGGCAATTACGCGATGCTCCTCACCAGGACTAAAGCGGGAAGTTATTTTACCCAATTACATTCCTTAAATAATGATCAAATAGAGCAAGTCAAGATCTATAAGTATCTTGGGGTCATCCTTGATTCAAAACTGAATTTTGAAGATCACATTGATTATATTGGTAAAAAGACAGAAATAGGTTTTCTGTATCGACACAAGCACTGCTTCCCCCCTATGTTCCGTTTGGAATTGATAAAAGCTACCAGTACTGTCTCTACTTGATTACTGTGACATCGTGTATAAATCAGCCCCAAGTACTGCACTGAAGAAGCTTGACTCAATGTATCACCCGGCCTTAAGATTTGCACTGAACTGCCCATATAGGACTCACCACTGTGATCTCTACATTGGGTCAAACTTAACATCTCTTAATGTTCGACGGCTTGTGCACCAGATCTTTTTGATTCATAATGTACTTACAAAAAAATCCGCAGATTATCTGCGGGATCTCCTCTCAGTTTCAAAGAACAAATTTGACCTAAGGTCTTCGCTCATTTACCAACTTCAGATTCCCTATTGCCGTACAAATACTGGAGGAAGGGCCTTTTCTATTGATGCCCCCAGGGTCTGGAATGCTATTGCCAATAAACTGCAACTTGAATCACTACCTATGATATCTTCACTCAAAACTGCTCTAGAGGAGATGTACACCCCGAGCTGCCACTGCTATTTAGTGGCCTAAAATAAAATGTTTCACTCCGGACTTGCATCCCACTGGGATTTTTGCACACAGCGTTGGTGTACGGTGCTTTTTCTGCAATGTTTTGCCGTCTTTTCTTGGATTTTCTGTTTGCAAATAGTCACATAGTCACTTTAAGATGTTTTCTTGTTCATGTTTTTTTGTTTGTTGTGGTTGCACCCGATTCAAGAGCCGAATGGCTCACAGGGCTATAGCTAATAAATGAACTTGAACTTGATGTTATTATTAATATCTATTTTTCTTCTTCATTTTCAGATGACATTGAAATAATGGACAGGAAATTGACCAGAGACGAACGAGTTTGATTGTCATTCGTATGCAAAAGAAGGCAGCTGTGATTGCTCATTCGTGCATCGTGCATCAATGTAAACAGAAGTCAGTTTTAACATTTGTTAAAACAAACAACATAATGCTTTGTTACCTGTTAAAATAAAAATGATGACACTATGTGGCATGACTTTTGGGCTACCCTCTATAGGTGACGTTATGAAGGGCCAATTGTGATGTGCTTTGCAGAAAGGCCATTGCCTGAAACGTCGCTTTTTTATATATAACCACACATTATATATTTATTACACATTATTATCGGAATCAGAATAGATATTTAGACTGGAGGAATCCGATGAGTTATAAAGCTCTTTCGTATAGGTGTCCAGTTGGGGTAGGTAAGAATGTTACAACAACGAACAATATCAACACATGATAGGAGTGCAAAATACAGGTTGGCCCAAAAGTTTCATTCATCGTGCCACTGAAATTGCAACGTTTTAATCATTTAGTCTAAAAGTTAACATTTTTTTTGTTATTATAATTAATACCATGACAAAACAATCCTCTGTGATTTGTTTAAATAAATCAATAAGATCTGTGTGTCCTAACTTGTGGGCCACTCTCTATCGGCGACGGTATGAAAGGGCAAACAACTGTGATGTGCTCTGCAGACGGACCATTGCCTGAAACGTCACCTATCATTATCCAATACCCACCCCAGTGTACTCCCAGCGTTGTGGTTGGTTTAGCGGCCCCGCCGCCGCCTGCGCGGCTCCCGTCAGCTCCGGCACGGCGACCCGCGCCGTGCCTCGGGCTTCATCCGGGGAGGGGGTCCCGGGCACAGCCCCGCGGGATCCCTCGGGGGTGTCGCCATCTGCAAGAAGGAGAAGCACAGCGATTACATTTCGTACTTCTGGGTCTACATTTCCCATTATAGATAAAACATGGCCCCAGCCAGCACCCGTGGTGCCACCATTAACCAGAAAGATTTTGCTCCACATTGAAGTATGAAGCTCAAATTCGAGAATAATGTGATATGCCTGTCACGTTGGCTGCTAGGGTATTTTAAGCTCCCCGTGTTACTCATGATGGGCAACAGCAGTGGCTCCAAAGTGGCCCTGCTGTTGGTGGCTGCCACCGTAACGAGAGGTCACGAGGTCGCGTGGTCGCACACTCACCTTGGGGTGCAGGCAGCACAGACACACTGATGTTATCGCGTGCTGTGGCTGGCACCAGGGATGGTTCAGGCCGGCCATGGGGAAGGCAGCTGGGTTGCATGCAGAGCATCTCGTCGGCCGCCACCAGCACCTCGTTGGACGAGGTGGGGGCCAAGACCGTGAGGTCGTTACCGGACGAGGTGCCCTCTGCTCCAGCTGCCACAGTCATGGTTGGGCCCTGCCACAGCAACACAGTCAACACATCCACAATTAATCCTCCCATCCGGACTGGCATCCCAACACACGTGAGACTGAATTTTCTCCAAAATGAATCAAATTAAGTCCATGAACCGATAAGTGATCTGCATTAAATGTCTCTGAAATATATATAGACGATTGATTTTTAGAGGAACCCCAAACTGACAAAATATTCAAAGAAGTTGCCATTGACTAAAGACGAACGAGTTCAGTTCGTTGTTATGCATGCAAAAAAGGTAGCTGTAATTTAAAAAAGGTGCTAAATGCATTTCAAAATGGTAATGGATATCAGTTTTAACATTTGTTAAAATAAACTCAATGACCCTTTGTGATTTGTTAAGATAAATACAATAACTTTGCGTGTCCTGACTTTTGGGCCACCCTCTACAGGCCACGTTATGAAAGGGACAACAACTATGAATGTGCTCTGCAGAAGGGCAATTGCCTGAAACGTCGCCTATCATTATTTTGTAAGGACCCCCCCCCCCCCGTGCACTCCCAGCGTTGTGATTGGCTGAGTGGCGCCAGCGGGCCCCGCCCCGCCCGCCACCCGGGGCCCCGCCCCCTCACCTGAGGCTCCGCCCCCAGACGCGGCCCCGCCGCCGCCTGCGCGGCTCCCGTCAGCTCCGGCACGGCGACCCGCGCCGCGCCTCGGGCTTCATCCGGGGAGGGGGTCCCGGGCACAGCCCCGCGGGATCCCTCGCGGGGGTCGCCAACTGCAAGAAGAAGGAGAAGCACAGCGATCACATGTTACACTGCGGACAAACACACGGCTCTACATTTCCCACTGGAGACAGACATGGGCCTGTCGATCGCTTCTGAAGAACTAAATAGCTCAGTGGGCTTCACCTGGTTTAATAAAAAAAATTAACCCGTAAAAACAAAGTTTTTCACTATAAATCCTTTATATGCGTGGCATCGGTTTCATTTTATTATTCTTTTCTGTTTTTCTTGAGTAAGAGTTTCATTTTTATCACATTGGTATTTTAAATAACATATGAATTTTTATTTTTCCTAAAAAGTGGAACATTTTTTTCACGAAAATAAATTGTCACGCACAACGAGTCTGTGTGCAAAATGTCAGCTCGATTGGATCACGGGAAGTGGGTTAAAAAGACGACCGAAAGATTTGCACGGTCGTAAGCGCGCAAGCAAGCAAGCGCGCAAGTGAACTTAATATAAAGGATTTAAAAAGAGTGGAGCTCATTTCGTTTTCGGGATTAACTTACTTTTCTCATACTTTTCACTTGTTATTGGTGTAATTTCCTGAAATCGTTTAAAAGAGCTTTATAGCTCATCGGATTTATCCACGATTAATAAAGTTCAT